AAAATGTGGTCCCCGTGGGTGGCTCAGTCATTAAGCATCTGCCTTCAGCTCAGGTCATGATCCCAGGATCCTGGGATTGAGCCCCGCATCGGGCTCTCTACTCAACAGGAAGCCTGCTTCTTGCTCTCCCACTCCCCCTGCTTGTGTTCCCTTTCTCTGTGTCTATCTCTGTCAAATAAATAAATAAAATCTTAAAAAAAAAAAAGAAATGCAAAATGCTGGGCCTCACCCTGAATTGGATCCTGCGGTTTAGCACCATCCCCAGGTGATTTGAATGCCCCTTTAAAATTTTAAAAAAGATTTCTGTATTTATCTTAGAGAGAGAGTGTTTTTTGCTGGGGTGGGGGTGGTAGAGAGAGGGGAGACAAGCAGAATCACTACTGAGTGCAGGGCTGGCCCCTCACTGGGGCTCAATCCCAGGATCCTGAGATCAGGACCCTGAGATCATTGCCTGAGCCACCCAGGTGCCCCTGAATGCCCTTTAAAATTTGAGAAGCCCAAAGCCCTCGTTCTACAGATGAAAAAACTGGGATCGGGAGAGGTTCAGTGACTCGCTAAAGGTTGTATAATGAGTAAGACTCAGCTAGATTTAGGGTCCGGTTCTGACAATTAGCTCCAGTGTTTGCTTTCCCCCTGTATCTGGCTGCCTTCTTACAAGGCCTTATTTTGTTTGGTTCTGATTATTGAATGAACTTGAACTTAATTCAATTTATTTTAAAAACTTTACATTCTGTCTTTTGCTAATTCAGACTGGACTTCCGTTAATTTATCTGAGTGGGTGGTGCTCCTTTATTTCTTAATTTTGTGTGTGTGTGTGTGTGTGTGTGTGTGTTTATTAGATTCACTCAACAGTTGAATGAAATAATCTTTTTTTTTTCCTGTCTGACGTAAGTTTCTGGAACTGGATATATATAAATGCTTCCATGTTTATAAAGACAAATATCCCATATCAGAAAAAAAATCAAACATTTTACCATTTTGTTGTTGATGATTTCATAAATACAGTATTTATTTTTTGTTATCACACTGGACGTACACACTGGGAGAGTGTTTGTCATTATATGGCTGATCACACTGGACTTAAGGACTTGACCCAGGAACCTTTATTTATTTATTTATTTATTTATCTTTTAAGATTTTATTTGTTCATTTGACAGAGGTCACAAGTAGGCAGAGAGACAGGCGGGGCGGGGGAGGGGGGGGAAGCAGGCTCCCTGCTGAGCAGAGAGCCCGATGCGGGGCTCCATCTCAGGACTCTGGGATCACGACATGAGCTGAAGGCAGAGGCTTTAACCCACTGAGCCACCCAGGCGCCCCCAGGAACCATTATTTAAAAGGTATTTCCAGGATGTTGGTTGCATGTGATTATGAATTGACAGTGTCTCATGGCACCAATTTAAAAATGTTCTTTGTTAAAATGTTAAAATGGTTGTACTTACTCTGTACTGATGGACATTTAAGCGCAGCGACCCATTTCTCACTTCAGCTCTGCCTGTTGCCCTGAAACTCAGGAGCCGCTCTGGTCCATTTCCTTCAGGCTGTAAACTTCATCTCATGCCAGGGTTAGTGAGGGGAATGGGGTATCTACCTGCTCCTTATCCATATTTGTACCTAGTTCCTTGAACTCTGAGTCCTATCCCTGACACCTGCCTTCTGAAGCGCTCAGTGGCCCTGATTCCTGAGCCTTTGGGGCCAGCTTTTAGTTCTTCCTCTCAAGCCATTCCCTTGCTTCTGTCTCCTGCATCTTCTGAAATATTGTCGCCGTCCTCATCTCCTGTCCTCTCGTCTGCCAGGGTTTATACCTTTCCGGGGCTTCATGTCATGGGGGAGGGGGAGCTTTGAAAATGTACTAAATCTGCATGTTTAACTGCAAATCTTTCATCTGTAATTTAAAAAAAAAACAAACTTGTATTTTTTTCTTACAAGCTCTTTCGTATTCCTAATGTTGTGTGTCTGCATAAGCTCTTTGCTCCTCTTGCAGGTCTCACTTGCATCATGACTGTTGGTCTTCATAGAGTACTGACTTTGGGGAAACTTTTTTTTCACTGAATTTGAATGTAATTTCTAATACTTCTTTTCTTTACTATTTCCTCACCCCCAACTCCCAAATCCTGTATTTTCTTTCATTCCTTCCTTCCTCCCTTCCTTCGTTACAAGATTTTATCTATTTGAGTGAGAAAGAAAGAGCACCAGAGAGAGAGAGAGAGAGAGTGAGTGAGAGAGCAGCACGTGTGTGCAAACATGTGGCGGGGGGGGGTGGTTTGGGGAAGTGGAGGGGCAGAGGGAAAGGGAGAAGCAGATTCCCTGCAGAGCAAGGAGCCCGAGGTGGGGCTTGATTCCAGGACCCTGGGATCATGACCTGAGCCGAAGGCAGACACCTAACCGACAGAATCACCCAGGCCCTTCTTTTTAAGGAATGCCCCCCTGCAATTTCTTGCATTAAAATTCTAGGGCTTTCCCCCACCCTCGGGCTGCCTGCTTTTACTTCTCTCTTTTTAAAGTACAAAAGCAGGAAAAACTCAAATTTTCTGGAGTAGATACATTTTTATATCTAGTACTAAACATTTCAATTAAAAAAATTTTATTTAAGTGATCTCCACATCCAGCCTGGGGCTCAAACTCAAAACCCTGAGATCAAGAATCACACACCTGACTGAGCCAGCCAGGCGCCCCAAGGCATTTCGATTTTGCTATCCTTTTTGTCTCAAGAATTATTTGGGAGAGTGTTCTGTAGTGTCCAAGTAGGTTTCTTTTGGGAATGCTACTGTTTGTTTTATTTTGTAGTCTTATTACATTATTACATGGTAGTCAGATACTACGACTTCTATAGTTTTTTTTTTTTAATATTATTTATTTATTTGACAGACAGAGATCACAGGTAGGCAGAGAGGCAGGCAGAGAGAGAGAGGGAAGCAGGCTCCCTGCCGTGCACAGAGCCCGATATGGGGCTCGATCCCAGGACCCTGGGATCACAACCTGAGCCGAAGGCAGAGGCTTTAACGCACTGAGCCATCCAGGCGCCCCCGACTTCTATAGTTTCTATGTTTGACTTTGTTGCATTTTTTTTAATGGTTTGGGATATAATAAATTTTGTAAATATTCCGCAGTTAATTTAGTATTACTTAGGGATAAGCAGCAGTTTGTCTCATTTCTGTGTTATATTTGTTTTAAAAGAAAAAGCAGGGGGAGCCTGGGAGGCTCATTCAGTTAAGTGTCTACCCTCGGCTCAGGTCGTGAGCCCAGAGTCCTGGATGGAGTCCCATGTCAGGCTCCTTGCTCAGAGGGGAGCCCTCTTCTCCCTCTCCCTGACCCCTCCCACTCCCCCACTCTTATTCTCTCTCTCAGATAGATAAATAAAATATTTTTTAAAAAAAGGAAAGAAAAAGCCATGGTTAACAATCAGTACAGATCTTCCTGAACTTATGATTGGGTGGGTTACATCATAACTTGGAAATCTCCTAAGTCGAAAATACATTTAATACTCCTAACCTGTCAAACATTATAGCTTAGCCTAGCCTACTGTAAATGTGCACAAAACCCTTGTGTTCACCAGCAGTCCGGCAAAACCGCGTGACACCCAGCCTGTTGTATAATCAAGTGTGGACCCTCTCCTGTGACGTATTGAATACTGTACTGAAAGTGATAAACAGAATGGTCATACGGGTGCAGAACGGTTGTGAATTTACCAGGTGTCTGCCCCTGTGATCGCCTGGCTGGCTGGAGCTAGAGCTGGCTGCCACCGCCCGGTGTCCTGAGAGAGGATCACACCTCATATCCCTAGCCTGGGGAAAGATCCAAATTCAAAATTTGAAGTATGCTTTCTACTGAATGTGTATTGCTTTTGCACCACTGTCAAGTCGAAAGATTGTAAGTTGAACCATTGTAAGTCAGGGCTGTCTGTACTTGGAAATCTCCCTGTCTCAGTTGCCTGGAGCAACCCGAGGGCTGAGTGTTTATTCCCTGGGTAGTCATGGGGCCAAGACTGAGATGGAATTCCACGCTGACTCTCTCGACCCGGGCCCCTCCTGAAATTACAGACACTGAGAGGACAACACGATACCCCACAGAGCCTCAGGTAGAAGTCCTTGCTTGACCTTGGACCATGTACCCATCACCCTCTAGTAGGTTTGCGTGTGTTAGCCTCCCACATCTCTGCTGCCTGTCGAAGTAATTGGACCTGGTCATCCGGCTGGGACCCAGCTGTTCATCTCACTGACATTTTAAGCACCTTCATTTTTTCCCTAAAAGAAACACAGATGGGGTAAGAGACAGATGAGTTCTTCTCCCTTCCACTTGCTTTTTGAGTTGTGGCAAGTAGGACTGCAAGTTCCTTTATCCAGTCACTCAGTAAAAGTGCCTTGGATGTTTATACTGTGCCCTGACGATATAGGGGCAAATGACGAAGTCCCGCAGCCTAGAAGATAGAGCGGGAACCGTATATAATGACAAATGAACACGGCCGATGTGGGAATGTGCAAGTGTTAGCGGAGCACAGAGGGGTTAAATTTTCCACGAGAACAGAGTAATGGCGACGACACCAGGGAGAATATGGGGTTTAAGGTGAGTCTTCAAGTAGGAATGGGTGCTAGCTGGACAGAGAAGGAGATAGGCATTTCCCTTCCTCGAAGGGAACATCATGACTAGGGCATGAAGTAGGACAGGGTCGGCATGTGTGAGAAAGAGTCATCAGTCTCCTGCCTAGAGAATATTGTGTGTGGTTTGCTTTTGAGAACAGTGAGGCTTGGGCTAGGGGTTGGCTTAGAGTCAGACTGTTAAGAGGTTTGATGGCAGGTCGAGGTACAGTATTTTATACTCCTCTCTGTGGGCAGTGAGTAGCCGTTGCAGGTTTTTAAGGATGGGGTCAGATGTGCCTTTTATCATTCGGCTGTTCCAATTCTGGTTCTCCATTGTAAATGTCTACTACCCAAACTGTGGCTTGTCCAGAGGAGGCGATTGCATTTTTCTTTTCCTATAATCTACGATTTATGATTCTGGTTTAGATGTCTGTGCCACTTGCCATGAACACGCTACCTGCAAGCAAGCCGAAGGGATGAAGATGTGTGTCTGCAAATACGGATTCGTGGGCAACGGGAGAACTTACTGTATGGGTAAGCTCTGGCTCCTGGGTGAAGTTGGAAAGTGGGGTCAAGTAAGGAGATTCTCTAGTGTTAAAGAGCTAATGTCCTTGTGGGGAAGACTGTTGCTTTGCTCACCTGTTTTCATCACAGGAAGTCTTGTCCATTATAATAGGCCTTTGTTTTAGTGTTTGGGTATAGCCTGTCTGGGGCGTTGGCAAGGAAGTATCTTCCGTGTTAAAGGGTCATTGAACTTGAGTCTCTGGAAATTCTCTGGCCCAACGCAAATTTGAAATCTGTTTCAAGTCCCGAGTTTAACTTAACAACTTGAGTAAATATTGCCTTCCTTAATTGTTCCTGGTTGTTTCGATGTAAGATGATTTGTATTTGTACCCCGAGGAGAAACAAAACACAATTGCCTATTGGACTTTTGGGCTAATTGATGAAGTAGTATTGCTTTGAGTCTTATGTCTCCCAGAATTTATCCTCCAGATTTTTTGGAGTTGTTGCCCACTGGGGTCTTGGGTGGCTTAAAGGAATACAAAGGCCTTTAGGAAGAATCTAAGGTAATTTTTTGGCTTCATGGCCTCCAGTGTGAGACTTGAGCAGTATCCGGGCTCAACGTTTCTCGGAGTGAATGTTAGGAGAACCACATTGTCCTCCCAGCAACCTTGTTATGTGCACTACGAATATTGACAGTTTACCTTGCGGCTGTGCACTGACTGTGTAGACAGCCTTGTGATATCTTTGGGTTTCCTCTTCCTAAAGAGTAGTAACAATTCCCAGTTCCAAAAGTCATATTCTACTTCACAGATACACCCTCTCACAGTCACACACCATGGCCCATTCCTGCAGGCTGGATCTGTGCCCCCCCTTGGACCCTCTCTCTTTGGGAGAGAGCCCAGGAGAATTGTGGCTGCCCTGCAGTCTGAGGTTCCTGGGGCATTTCTCGAATCCTTCTCCTCCCACAGCTTGCTAGCAGGGGCTTGGAAGTGAGGTAGGAAATGAGCACGGGCAGCCTTCTCTGCTCCCTCCCCGAAGGCGGTCCCCCGCCTGCAGAAGCTTGCCTCACTCTTGATTGCCCCTTGACTTCTGAATCGAAACTTCTCTTAATGGGAGGAAGGGGCTTATTGATTTATGTGGTACTTGCTCTCAGACACTAGACACTGCCTACGCCAGTATGTGGCCTGCTGAGACCACACCATGGGTCACAGGTGATATTACCTGTGTGCCCTGCATGCTGTAACGTGGTCTGCAGCCAAGGGGCCTCAGAAATTTAGAATTCTCTACAAACCCACTGTCCTTTTTGGAGAAGCCTGCTGGGAGACCTGTCTCAGAAACGCTAGCCGAGGACAGGAATGCAGCATCTTATGGGTGGCTGGACTGGTGTCCGAAAGCCCCGTGCAGGGCTCATCAGCTGGGCTGGACACTTGGCCAGGCGGTAGCTTGAGGGCTGTCTCTCCTTGCTCCCATGCAGATCACACCGTAGACAGTGTTAACCATGAGCTGTGTTCCATCTTCAGTGACATTTCCAAAAAGATAACACCTGTAAGGAAAATAGGGAGGAAAAAAAAAAAAAAGGAACGCCGGATTTTGGGAAGGGTACTTTTGAAGCAGCAGGAATTGAGTGCAATTGTGAGAGGCAAACCCATGCTATAGTCAAACACTAAATAACAATCAGAAAAACTCCAGTGCATAAATTGATGACACCCCCCCCACCCCCAAACAAAACAACCAGTGACAGAGATCAACTCTGAAAGAATGCATGAGAAATTGGTCTCAGGAGTTCTTCTGCTGGTAAGGCCAGGCCAGAGTCAGCAGAGGCTGCCCTGCCTGTTTTTGTAAATAGACTTTTATTAGAAGACAGCGTTGCTCATTTGTTTGCTTATGGTCTGTGGCTGCTTTGTGCTCTAAAAGCATGGGTGAGCACTTGCCACTGGAGACGGCCCTTCACAGAAAGTTTGCCAAGCCCTGAGCTGCAGGACAGAACCAGGAGGGTAATTTACCTTCATTAGACACCTATGTCCAATGACTGCATTAAAAATGCTCAGGGTAGGCTTCTGCGGACTCGCCCGCATCCTCTACCTCAGCTCCTCACGGGGTGACTAATATTATTCACATGGGTCGTTGACGATTAGCAGGAGCTGTTCCTGCCTCAATATCAGCTCTGCTCCCGGATGAGGCTTAAGCACTAATTCCATTGCGTTTCCTGGTAACTCAGAAGTAACAAATTTTCCAGTTATTCACTGGATGCAAGATTGTCCTACTCTGCCTTTCATGAGAAAAGCAAGAGAGTGTGGCTGGCTGAGCTGGAAATGGGGTGCTGCTGGGTGTGTTTCTTTCACAAGGTCTTCTTGAGTGTGAAGAGATGGAAAAAGAATCACAACCCGCAGCTTGGAAGACAGAGCTGGAGCTGTATATAGTGACAGATGAACACGGTCGATGTGGGAATGTGCAACCCCTTCTCCCAATCTTCAAATAAGATGAATGTTCAGACTAAGACGCTGGATTTCTCTTGTTTGTGTGTGTGTTTTAAAGATCTTATTTATTTTAGAGAGAGGATGAGTGTGGGGGGATGGGGGGCGCAGAGGGAGAGAGAAACTTTAGCAGACTCTGTGCGCAACTTGGGGGTCGATCTCATGACCCTGAGATCATGACCTGAGCCTAAATCAAGAGTCGGCTGCTTACCCGACTGAGCCCCCCGGGTGCCCCTCTCTTGTGGTTTTATATATGCCTGGCACACGACTGTGGGGGACCCACGCCCTGCAGTCTGAGAAGCATCGTGAGGAGACCCTTGGGATGTTGTCACAGAATAGCAGCTCCCAGGTCTGTAGCCTAGGAGGACAGTCTGGGTTATTGGATGTGGTATGGACTGATAGCCCTTTCCGTGCGTTGTCTCAATGTATCAACAGATAAAAACGAGTGCCAGTTTGGAGCTACTGTGGTCTGCGGAAACCACACATCTTGCCACAACACACTCGGAGGTTTTTACTGCATTTGCCTAGAAGGATATCGAGCCACAAACAACAACAAAACATTCATTCCCAATGACGGCACATTTTGCACAGGTACTCAAGGAGGGGGCTGCGGTGATGGCAGGACAGTGTCTGGCGTGTGGAGGAGGGAGAGGGCCGGGCTGGGACTGGGCATGGTTTCAGGGAGGGACTCTCCCTGCAGAAGGTCCATGGGGGGAGTTTGGGACATGGGCTGAATATTAGTGAGTGTTAGGAAACTCCTGTTCCTTCTGTTAGCTAGCGTCACGGCATTGTAATACTGGGGATGACATTCTCATTTTGGGAGACGCATGCTGAAGCGTCTAGGGGTGTTATTACGATCTCTAAGGGGTCTTAAATGACAGACTGTGAGCAGGTGTTGGGGGGTGGGTCTTGGCATATGCTTTCTGTGTTTCTCCTGTTCCGTGCGTTTGAACATTTTTCTACCAAACGAGGGGCTCTCAGAGATGGTGTTTCTGGAACCCCAGCTGGGGTGTTCTTGTGGTGACTCTGGCACTGTGCACACGGCCCATCAAAGGCCCAGGGGGTGGACATTGTGATGTTAGCTTCCGGGAGCTCTGAGTGGTCCCTGGTGAGAGACAGGGCTTGCCTCTCGGAGGAATCCGCCCGTGAGGAGGGCCATGTTTGCGATCTCAGCCGCTCTGAAGCTTGGGGCACATGTTGGGTGAATACAGTGGGTGGGCAAAATCCTAATTTTCACAGAGCCCTGAAACTCTTGGCCGAACTCCATGTTACAGCATGTCATGACATTGTAGCTCTTTGGTTTTCCAAGAAAATCTGGCAACGGCGAGGAAGAGGAAAGGCAGGAATAGCCTGCAGGTTCTGCGATGGTTTTGCATAGACTGAACGACTCTGCTTAAAAGCTTTGTGATATTGAAAGGTTTTCAGGGAAAAGGGAAAGGAGAACGTTGTTTTAGCTCCTTACCCACCGGAAAGCACAGATTCCGATGCTCTGATTCACTCTCCCTCTTGACCTGCACCAAGGTAAAAAAAAATCCCTCATGGGGTCCACTTGATTTATTCTTGGCGTGAATGAAGCGCGTTCCCTCAGAGAAAACATTTTATGATATACCGTTGTTTTCGGTAGCAAATGGCTTGTTGTACGATTGCCGAAGTGCAATGGTGCAGAATTAAATTAGATGCGTTAAAAAAACAACATATCAATTTAAAAAAATTTTTTAAATTTAAATTCAATTAGCCAAGGTATGGTACATCATTGGTTTTTGATATAATGTTCAGTGATTCATCAGTTCAGTGTAACACCCAGTGCTCATCCCGTCACGTGCCCATTTTTAAAAAACCTGACAAGGTGATGATAGGATGTTCTGTTCATCCCAAGACACATTTCTCCTGTAGCTCCCTTGAGCCAAAGCGGTGCCAGGGGCCGGTGATAGCACATAGCTAATTTCAGTATAAAGTGTTAGTCATAGGTGAGCAAAGGACACTTAGGGAATCTGGAATCCATGTGGGCTCTTATCTTGGAAGTGGGGAAGGAATCAGGGAACTTTCTGGAGGACGTGATACCAAAAATCGTGTTTTCAAGGCTGCGGGAGTTTGCTGGGGGAAGACTTTTATCACTGTATCTATCACTCACCTTCCCAAGGATGCATCTGACTTAAAAAAAATTCGAAGGAGGAGAGAAGGAGGAGGAGAAGAAGAAAGAAATATTTTGTGCAAGGACCAAACAGATGTCAGCCTAATAAGAACCAGTCTTCCTGGAACAAAATCCTGATCTCGGCTCTTCTCTGTCTTCCACTTGTTGTAATTATTTAGTGACTTTTTTTTTTTTTAAGTGAGATATAATGCACATACCATCAGATTCACTCTGTTAAGGTGCTTTTTAGTATATTCCCAAAGTTGTGCAATAACTACCACTATCTAGTTTCAGAATACCTCTGTCACTTCAAAAGAAGACCCGTATCTGTGGGCAGTCATTCTCGTGACCTCTCCTTTTGAGATCTCTGGTTATCACTTTGTAAAAGCTGATGGGTGACTTTTCTCGACGATACTGAGTGTCTCTTGGCATCATGGTTGCCACGGGAACAGCGGTGGACTGTTCCTGTCCACTGAGGCTTAGCACGTTTTGGGGTATCGGGTTATCCGGTGTTTGTCTGGATCCACAGGATGTGAATCCTGGTTCCTGACTTGCAAGAACTCCTGTGACTGGGTGTTGGTTGGACTCTGCAGAGTCCGAGCCAGATTCAGGAGCTGCTTGCCGGTGGGCCTCTTTGGATGTCACCCACGAGAGGGTTCTAGTTCCAGAGAGCTTGTACCTGGCCCCCAGGGCTGCCCCCAGACAAGTTCTGGGGCTCCCAGAAACTTGGCCGAGGGAGAAGTTCTGTGGCATTTCAAATGTGAGGAGGGTGGGAGAGAGATGATGCTGGTGGGAGCAGGCCTGGCGCTGTCATCTCCCTACCAGCCCGACTCCAAGGAGGCATGGCCCTACCACGTCTGCTGAGAATTGCAAAATGCATTTTGTGCGCCTTTGAATTCCCCAGGTGTTGGGAATCCCTCTCTAGTCTGATGGTGGCTGCAGCCTTCTTTTCATTCATCTCATCTTCTGCAGTATCAAAGGCCTGATGCCGTTTCTCCTAGAGAAGTGTAACAGCATTTCAGCCTTAACTAGAAAATGGGGAAAAAGGAAGGAAAAATTTTACTTCCCAGAGGGAGTAAATGAGTTGCCATTCATCAGTTTCCAGAACCTTCTGCTCAGAGCCTGTATCACATAGTCTGCCTCTGGTGAAGTAAACACCATCATTGCTAGATGTCAATCCCTTCCCCTGCCAAGACGTCTGTTGGTTTCTCTCCCAGGTCAGGAGTCTGTTCTCTGTGTGAGCCTTTGCTCTCAAGCTTCTCAGCTGCCTGTTGTTTCTGGTCCTGGAGTGGCCCGCTGCGGGCTCAGACATAACGTGTAGTCCCGCTGGGATTCTGCTCTGTGTGGGATATTGCCCAATGGACTTGCTGCTGTTTGAGGTTCCTCCCAGTGCTCCTTCCAAATGGGATTTTGCTCCCCAAATCCTAATCCTTTGTTTTAGCTGTGTTTTATTTCACAAGTATCATGTTTTACTACTCTAAAACAAGGAAGCAACAAAGACAGAGAAACCTAAGGAAAAGTGGGCTGGGGAGTTACTGCTGCACTCAACAGTGCATTGCTCGCATCCAACAGCTTCCTGACTATTTTCCCTGTGGAGTCCCCTGGACTCCTGTTTAGTCACGTCTCTAATCCTGGTGGGTGATGGCTTCAGGCCCCCGCTACAGCTCCAGCTCCCAGGAAGGAGAGAGAGGCCAAAGATTCTGAATCAGAAGATGGTTAAACCAAAGCATCCTTCCCTTAAATGCAAGAGGCTTTGATTAAGGCACTGTTGTTTCTCTTTGGGAATGAAAGGGCATGCCTGAGCTCCTGCACATGTGAACATCTCCCATGCTTCACTCTTTTTTTTTTTTAATTTTATTTATTTATTTGAGAGAGATCATAAGTAGGCAGAAAGGCAGGCAGAGAGAAGGTGGGGGAAGGCAGGTTCCCTGCTGAGCAGAGAGCCCAGTGCAGGGCTCAATCCCAGGACCCTGAGATCATGACCTCAGCCAAAGGCAGAAGCTTAACCCACTGAGCTACCCAGGTGCCCCCACACTTCACTCTTGCCTCTGGCTTCCTCTCGCCCTAGGATATAGGGATCCCAGATTCCTTCCCAAGACCTTGTTGAGTGTAGTAAAATATGCACACATGGTTCTTGTTTTGCTCCACTAGTTTAAAGTTTTGGGAGGAGTAACTGGGACAGGAGCTTTGAGGCATCTCTAAAGTAGATTTTCCTAAACAAAGTAGTAGCATTGGCAAGATTGTGAAGGAAATGGATAACCCTTTCAGTTCAGGTCCTTTGTTCATGACCGATGCCTCTCTGAGCATGATCTTAGATATGGTCTCCTACCTTATATGTATCAGCTACACACAATTTATTATGTGGCTGTACTGTGTTACTTAACTGATTAGTTTTTCCCTTCTTGTGGTTGTTTTCCTGCTTGTCATATTTTATGTGTGTGTGTGTGTGTGTGTGTGCACGCTATCATAAGAAATGCTATAGTGAACATCCTTGTACGTACATCTCTACAGATAATTATTCCTTGTTATAAATTCTGGAAAATAATTTTTGTATCAAAGGTATACCTACACATTGTTATTTTTCAGTACATTGTGCCAGATTGTCTTCCAAAAAGTTCACACCAATATTCTCTCTCACTGATCATTTCACGAAGGTCTTCATTTCTTCACATCTTTGCCAATACCGGACCTTAGCAACGAATGATATGAATTTAACCGTCTTGATCTTAAATGGATGTTTGTGTCCCTCTGAGTAACTGTGGCTTCTTAAGATGCAGGCTTCTTAGCTTGCATTGGGTAGGCAAGAGGGTAGGAAAAAAGCAGTAACGTTACTTTCCAAGATGCGAGGAAGTCATTTTCGTCTCCCCTGCATGGAGTCAAAGGAACTAGTAATTAGTTGGCTACAGGGAGAAGAACAGGCTGTGATAGCATTTCCATTTACGTGAAAATTCTTCCATGTACTTTTATCACTGAGTCCGTTCTGAGCCTTCAGGTTTTAAAGGCATTTCTAGGCCAGAGCTTGTGTGTAAAGGGGCCTTCAGAGACTTGCCTCTCGGGCACGCCCGCCAAAGCTAAACCCTTGTTTCTTTGACACGCCTGTTCTAGCTAAGGGTCCTCCAGATGCATTTTCAGATTCTGTCCGAGGATTCCGATCCTGGGGGACAAGCCACGGGGCCGCTCCCCAGACCGCAGCCAAGAAACCCAGGAGAGTCTGTGTATGTGTGTGTGGGAGGGCTTGGCTCATGGTCACACTGAGGGTTCGGTGCAGGCTCTGAAGGAGTGGCTTGTGCTCCAGGGAGAACAGAGTCTGTAGAAAGGCAAGGCCTATTCACGTATTAGCCAACATGTATTAGGACTTAATTAGCTTCATTTTACAAAAGTGGTTTAGAAAGGTTAAGGAACAGACCTGAGTACATCTAATAAGTAGCAGAGTCAGTTCTCAAGGGTCTGTTTGACTTTCAAGCCCAGGCTATTAGATGGAAAGAGTATATATAGAACATCGGGGCCCTGGGACCAGGTCAGCGTGTCCTGCTCGGTTTTGCTACTTTCAGGCAAGGAATTGTTCTGGCTGTGGATAAAGTTAAATAGTTCGGTATATACAATGGGACAAGGGAAAATTTCCCCCTCGATTACTTAGGCTTGTTAATAAGGTTGCTCAGTTGCTGAGAACGTTTTTCCTTCCCAAGCAAACATGTTATGACCTTGCTAGGCCCCTGGAATCTACCACATGGAGAAGTTATTCTAATGAGCTTACCATGTTTATGCAGCCAAGATTCTAGAATAGGTTAGAAAAGGGACGGTTTGTGAGCATTAAGAGGTAGCAGGGCATTAAAGGTCAGAATGACGTCACCGATCTCAGGGAAAGATGCTAGGTGCTTCTGGACTTCATGAAGACAATGGGTTTCTTTGATATTGTCTGTGGACAAGATTGAATTATTGATCGGCTGATGGTATAGTGGGACTGTAACAGGAGACACGGTGTGACCAGTGGCTAAGGGTGTGGTCCTGGAGCTACATGCCTGGTTTCCAAGTGTGGCTTTCCCACCACTTAACCTGTGTTGATTTTAGTGTCGTTACTTACCCACTCTGTGTTTCAGCTACTTCCGCTGTAAAATGGGGAGAATAATGGCATCTAGCTCATGGGGTTATTGTGTGGAATAAGATGAAAATAATTAGTAATAAGTAATGAAGGGTTTAGAACAGTGGCTGGCCTGTGCCAGATGACACACAGGAGTCATCTGGATTAGCGCTCGTTCTAACAATCATTGTTATTAGGTTGTTGAATGACTGGACACAAAGCAGGCCGATTAATGACTGTGGTGACTCATGAAGAGCTGATCAGTATCTAGAAACTCTGTCTTTTCCCTACCATTGCTACCTAGCCACATTTTTGCCCTGTGGTACTGGTACCACCTGTTTCTACTGAAAAAATCCATTTATTCCCACTCACTGTCTTCTGAAGAGCCTGGGGCAGATGGGCAGGCTGGAAGATGATTACTGTGACAAAGGTATATGTCCACATTTTACAACCCCCACCCTTGGAATACAGAATCTTGATAAGCTAAAATGATGGATCTCGTTCTAGGAACACATGCTGGATCCTGCAGGGTTGAAATCATCTCGAAAGTTTGTGCTAGATTGAGATTGATTTTATTTCCTATGCTTTAGATTTTAAGAATCCTTTGTTAACTATTATAAAGAAGCCCATGATTTTATATCAACAGCTGTGTTTTTTCTTTTTTAAAGATTTTATTTATTTATTTGAGGCGGGGAGAGAGACAGAGAGCACAGAGGGAGAGGGAGAGGGGGAAGCAGGCTCCCCACTGCGCAGAGAACCCAATGCGGGGCTCGATGCCAGGACCCTGAGATCATGACCTGAGTCAAAGGCGGACGCTTAGCTGACAGTCACCCAGGTGCCCTGTTATCAGTTGTTTAACTGAGTTTTTATTGGTTTCGTTTCTTACGTCTTTGTTGTCATCGTTTTTAATTCTGTTTCCCTTCTTGACGTTCTTTATTCTGATGTTTTTCGCTGGCTTGGATGTTTTTCAAAATCTTTTTCAGAAAAGAAATGTCAAGGGTTTCCTGTGTGGCTCGGTTGGTCGAACTTCCAACTCTTGATCTTGGCTGAGGTCTTGATCTTACAGTTCTCAGTCTGAGCCCCACGTTGGGCTCTGTGTTGGGTATGGAATCTGCTAAGAAAAAAAAAAAAGATTAAAAAAAGAAATGTCAATAGTATAGTTTCTGAGATCCTTCATGTTCTAAAATGTCATACCTTGACTTAAATATAGTACTATGTCTTGCTCCCTTTTCCTTAGAACTCTATAAATATTCCATTAGTATTTGGTGTCTCAGACAAGAAGTCCTAGGTCAGATTGGTTTTCTTTTCTTCAAGATTACAATTCCTTTCTCTCTTTTTTCATAGATTTTTCTTTTATTCCATGAAACTCAGATGACTTTCATTTTTCAACATTAATGCCTGTCACCTCAAAAGGTGCTTTGGATTGTGAATACATAAGCAGAGGAAATTTTCCCTTTGATATTAACTTTCAATTAAGATTTATTTATTTATTTGAGAGAGAGAGAGAGAGAGGGAGAGAGAAAAAGAGTGAGCATAAGTGGGAGGGGGAGAGGGAGAGATAATCTCAAGCAGACTCTGTGCTGAGCAGGGAGCCTGACTTGGGGCTCAGTCCCATGACCCTGAGATCATGACCTGAGTTGAAACAAAAGGTCAGACACTTAAATGACTGAGCCACCTGGGTGCCTTCTGCAATTTCTCTTAAGTGAATATCCCATATTTTGGATCTGTCCTTATGTTGTCTATTGTCCTGTACCTTCTGTCTCATATGATTTCCTTTTCTATGTGTTTTTGGCAAATTCTTCAAGTTGGAATTTGCAAATTTATTTTCCAGCAGCGGCCAACCTATTATTCAGAGCCTCTATTGGGTTTTTATTTTTGGCATTCACATTTTGTTTTTTCACTTTTGAAAAAGATTTTGTTTATTTATTTGAGAGAGAGTGAGAGTGAGTGAGAGCATGAGAGGGGAAAGGATCAGAGAGAGAAGCAGACTTCCCACTGAGCAGGCAGCCTGATGCAGGACTCGATCCCAGGACTCCAGGATCATGACCTGAGCTGAAGGCAGTTGCTTAACCAACTGAGCCACCCAAGCGCCCCCCCACAGTTTATTTTTAATTTCCAAGTTCTCATTGTGTTTTTCAGAAGTTCCCCTTTTTTCATTGATTGCAGTATCCCCCCCCTTTTTTTTAAGATTTTATTTTTAAGTAATCTTTACACCCAGTATCCTCTTAATTTCATTTGGACTTCTGCATCTCTTCATATGTCAAGAGTGTTTTGGTCATCTATTACTGCATAATGGTACTCCCTGCCCCCTGCCCCACCCCCCACCCCATTTAATGGCTTGTAACAACAATTTATTATTACTCACAATTCCATGGCTAGGTGGTTCTCTCACTCTTATGGAAACAACTCATATGGCTGGGCTGGGCTGGTAGGTAAAAGAAGGCCTCTTTCACATTCTAGGGCCTTGATGCTGACTGTCAGTCAGGACACCTTAGTTTTCCAGGGGTCCTCTCTCTTGACGTGATGTCTCATCTTTAGGCTGTCCCCCGAGTGACTTCTCTGCCAGGCATGATAGCTTGGATTTCCTTACAACATGGCCACTGTATGCCAACAGAGGGAGAGACGAAGCTGCCAGCCGTCTCCCAGATCAGGTTCACAAAAGGCACAGCGTTAACTTCTGCTGCCTTCTGTTGTCCAAAGCAAGCCTCTAGACCCGCCCTCGGGGAGGGGGAATGGATTCCACTCTTGAATCCCCAAGAAATGACCAACCATCTTTAGAGATGATCTCCCAGATTTTCCCCGAAGTTTGCTGCATTAGAGATGTACGTTGATCAGAAGTGGTAGCTTGTGTGGCCTCTTTCAGCAGTTACAGTAATTGCTGCCTCCTTAACAATGATCAGTGAGTGATGAGGAGTTCATTGGTCCAAGACCCAAATGCAAACAAAAAGGAGAGTATAGTGAGTTTTGATAAAGTCACAAACAAAACTTAAAAGGGTTCTGATATTTTCTTCCTTCTTTTGTGAAACTATGGTGTTAGTAGGTTTTAGAAAACAAAACAAAACAAAATGCTCTTCATCTGGCAGAATAGAATATTGGCCACTTTATAGTGGTCCTTCCAAAATTACCAGCCTTTAAAATCCCAGAGCCCGGTAACAACCAGGTTTTCCTCAGTCTTGCTATTCCCTGTTCTTGGCTCCCCTGCTCCCTGCCCCCCACCATGGTTCTTGCAAGTGTCCTAGGAATAGTCCCATTTCACTTAAGGTTCTTTTGTTTGTTTTGTTTTGTGAAATTGGTGTGTGTATGGCTCTGATGGCATTCCTACAGTTTTTATTTTGTTCTCTAAGTCATTTCTGGGGGGGGAAATCCACTAACTGGCAGAGAGGTTTATTCTCCGGTCTCTGAATTACTATGCGGTTTTTACTGCTGTACCTGATACTTTGGGCTGTCTTTAGTCAAGGAGAAAAGTCTGCCAAGGGGCATGTATTTTTCTTCTCAAAGCTTGTCTTAAGTTCTTGTAATCTTGATAAAATTAGTGAGACCCTTCTGAATTTTCCTCTTATTACCTGACTTACCCTGTGGTCATGAGCTAGAAAGCATTTTTCACTCTGGTTTAAATTGTTTTATATTTGGAGTTCTACTTCAGGTTTTTTTTTTTCTTTCTTTCTTTCTTTTTTTTTTTTTTAAAGAGAGGGGCAGAGTGGGAGAGAGAGAAAATCTTAAGCAGGCTCCATGCCCAGCAAGGAGCCTGACAAGGGACTTGATCTCATGACCTTGAGATCATGACCTGAGCCAAAACCAAGAGTCAGACACTTAACAGACTAAGTAAGCCTCCCAGGGGCCCCATCCTTCAGGTATTTTCAGGTATGAGGTAGAGGCTATCCTTATTTTGTAGTGATTGAACATTTTCAGCATGCTTCTCTGGGGCTCTTTTTTTGGGTGTCAGAGAGTTGGTGATAGTTGTTGGTTTTTGTAAATTCCCAAAACAACATTGACAAGGATTTATTGAGCACCTTTTAGTACTGGTGGCATAAAGGGTATATGAAAATAACCTTTGAAGAATGAAATAAAACTCATGATGCCCTTGCAAACAAATGCATCCTTTTTTGCAAGGGTAGATTGAGAATGTGAGAAATGGCTGTTCCAATGCCCCTGTGTCCTTGTGTTTCCCTTTTTATTGTTTTTTCTCTCCCTTCTTATATCTGGGTCTCAAGACATCGATGAGTGTGAGGTTTCCGGCCTGTGCAGGCAAGGAGGACGGTGTGTGAACACTTATGGAAGTTTCAAATGCTACTGTATGGATGGATACTTGCCAGAGAATGGGCCTGAACCTTTCCACCCGGCCAGAGACACCACGTCATGCATAGGTGGGTGTTTGCCAAAGAAGGGAGCTTTCTGAAAGTGGGATTCTGCTCTCAGATGACTTTCTTCTGCTCAGAACCTGTGTCTGTGGGGACTGTGTTGGGGATATAAGTGGAGATTATCTGTTCCTTTGCACATCTGTACAACCTATTAAATAAAGTCAATATTACAGGGTAAAAGGGGCTGGCTATCTTAGATTTAAAAAAAAAAAAAAGCTACACTTGGTAAACTTCCGGGATTTTTAGCAGTTAGTAGATATTCTCCCATGAAACATGATTTTATATAGTAAACATAGCTGCCCTCTTAAGGACCAGCAATAGAAAAATGACTCTGAAAATTACAAAGCCGTATATATCTGAAGGTGTTTTGCAATTCAAATGTTTTACTCCACTGGGCTAGGCTTCTCTTTAACTAGTGTGAATTAGTGAGGGTTGACTGCCAAATCCCATCAGCTTTGTGTCTGTGTAGATGCTATTACTGATGGAAGGCCAGAAGATTGAATAGAGACAGTCACTGGAAACATGCCCAGAAGTCAAAATGGAAATGAACCAGTCTATGTAAAATCTCGCTCAGATGTACGTGTGTGTGGAGGGAAAGGGGACGATGGGGTAGAGGTGGAGAGAGACGATGAGTTTTGTAAATTCATATTCACATAGTAATGAATTTGACGTTCATTTATTTTCAGAAATAGACTGTGGCCTCCCTCCTGAGGTCCCAGATGGCCTTATCGTTGGAAATTACACTTCTAGGCTGGGCAGCCAGGTGCGCTATGCTTGCAAAGAAGGATTTTTCAGTGACCTGGAAGATACAGTTTCAAGCTGCACAGCTTTGGGCACATGGGAGTCCCCAAAGTTACATTGCCAAGGTGAGTTTTCAAAAGGTCCAGGATCCCAGCTTCTGTCGTTTTGAGATTGTTTTCGTATTTCTCTCTGAATTTCTCTTTAGGGTGGTGAATGAATTAAATAGATCCAGTAAGTTCCTGTTGTCTCTAAGAGGCATTCTAGTTGATTCTCTTGGTATTTTCAGGAATAGTTATTGGCAAATCATGATAATTCCATCTTTTATTTTTCTATGTTTGTAAGTTAGGTTTCTCGTGATCAACCCACTTGGTTAGTACTTTCAGAACAAAAAGTTAAATAGTAGTGTTGACTTTGAGTGTCCTTATTCATGACTTTCATGGCAGTGGTTTTAGTTTTTCATTAATGCGTTCATGGTCTTGGCTCTTTGACATGGATTTCTACTTATATTCTTATGCACACTGACCCAGAGCCATGTGCCAGATGCTGTTCTAAGCACTTTATATCAATTGACTCAATCAATCCTTATAGGATCCCTAGGAGTATGTACTGTTATTATCCCATTTTACAGATGAGGAAAGTGAGGCATGGAGAAATGAAGTAATCTGTTCAAGGTCATATAGCTAGTGATCGAGCTGAACTTGAACCCAGAAATTCTGGTTTCAGAAGTTGTATTCTTTTTTTTTTTTTTAAGATTTTATTTATTTATTTGAGAGAGAGAAGGAGAAGGCTCATGTGTGCACGTCCAGGGGAGAGGGGCAGAACGAAAGGGAGAGAGAATCTCAAACAGACTTTGTGCTGAGCTCAGAGCATGACACAGCACTTGATCCTAGGACACTGAGATTATGACCTGAGCCAAAACCAACAATCCGATGATCAACTGACAGAGCCACCCAGGTGCCCCTGGCATGACATAATCTTAAAGAAGCCTCTATCTAGTCTCACTCTACTGGGGCTTAAAAAATTCAGAAATGACTTACGTTTATTACATCTTTTAGACGTGTTAAGTGATCATATACGTTTCTGCTTTAACCAAGTCATATGGTAAGGTTATATTTTTAGATTTCCTGATAATGATCTTACAAACTAATATCTGGAATGGAGCCTTCTTTCTGGGTCTTTGGTTTTTTTTCTTTTTATCTGGATTATATTTGCTAAACTTTAGAAATTTTACATTAATATTCAGAAGTGAGGTTGGTTTATTTTCTTTTTTCTATGCCATCGTTGTTGGGTTTGGTATCAGTATTATTCTAAATTTAAAAAAAAGAATGTGAAAAAATTTCTCTCTTTCTTCCTTCTCTGGACTACTATAAATATAATTTTTTTTAAAGATTTTATTTATTTATTTGACAGACAGAGATCACAAGTAGAGAGGCAGGCAGAGAGAGGAGGAAGCAGGCTCCCTGCTGAGCAGAGAGCCCGATGTGGGGCTCGATCCCAGGACCCTGGGATCATGACCTGAGCCGAAGGCAGCGGCTTTAACCCACTGAGCCACCCAGGCGCCCCTAAATAGAATTTTTAAAGGCTTGGGAGATTTCACTTGCAAATTATCTGGATGTGGCTTTTTTAGAGAGGTAGTCCTTGGGCTATTTTTAAAAAACCCTATACTTACAGGTCTAAGTTTTCTATCCTTTTTGGGGTCCACTTTGGTAATTTACATATTCCTAGGAAATCATTGATTCTATTCAGATTGTCAAACTTATTTGTGGAGAGAAGTAGAAAGCACTCATATTTATAATTTTCTGTAGTTGTTGTTCTTTATAAGTGAAATATTGAAACAATCCCAAATGTCTATCAATGGGAAATTAATTAAATAAATCATGGCATGTACATGAAATGGAATATTATGTAGCCAATAAAAACTACATTGGAAAATAATATTTATTGACATAGGTCAGGCTTAACAGTATATTACTGAGTTATCAATTATATGAATAACATCACATTAATTTTGAAAAAGCTCATATGCACATATATGCTCATGAAAGTTTAGAAGGTGATACATCAAAATATTAACATTGGTAACTTCCACTGGGGGGATCCAGGATGATTTTCATATATGATATTCTTTCTTTATTGAAAGAATTTTAAATGCCTTAGACAAAGTAACAATGCTGTTTTCCATTTTGGAAAAAAGGAAACAGTTTTCACTGAATTTACTGCATAGCTAGGACCTCCCAGTGATGTGTTTGGCTAAGTTAATTCTTGTGCTGGTCTGATTTGTGATTCAGGCTCTAAACACATTTTTAATAGTTAATTGTCATCTTGGGGGTTAAGAAATTCTAAAGGTACATTTTAGTTCTCACATTATCTTTCAGTGGATCAATTAAAATGCAGAACTTGGATTAAAGTGTGCCCTAATGCATATCAAAGAACTCCCTAAGGATTTATATAGGAAAACCCAAATGAAAGAGTTTGTGTGGACCGAGAATGGGGAAAGATAATTTGGAGGAGAGTACTTGTTAAAGTCCCCAAAGAACTGTTATTTGGAAGATCTTCACTTCTTTATTCCTTCCTTAATAACGGCTCCGTCTGCCGCTGACACCCTCCTTCTCCTCCCCCACGTCACCACATGGCCACCAGCTTCTCAAGGCTGTGTCTGCTCCTCTGAGCACCCCTTCTTACTTACCCTTCATCATCCCTGGGACTCCAGAAGCCTGGCCGTGGGCCAGCCGGCACTGCATTTTCAGCTCTGAGGTCTAAAGCCACTGGAATTGGGAATTCCACTGACAACTCTAGCAAACTGTGAACTTCCATGTCTCTGAGGAACAGGTACTTGGTAAGGGAGCAGCTGTGTGTCACAGACCCAGCTTTTGTGTCCGATTTCACAGACTTCCCCATCAGAGAAGGCACAGTTGGTAGACCCTGTTGTTTGCCTTCTCTGTGTGCCACCGTGGCCAGGACCCCTTGACATGGGTCCCCCTCTGAGCGAGCCTCAGAAGTGAGCGCTGGAAGCGAGGAGGAGAGCTCCTAATGCCCAGGGCTTCTGTGGCTCCCTCTTCTGATTTAGGGAGGGACTTATGGAAACATCAGTCCCCCATGTCCATCAGCTCTCTAGAGAAGACAGTGTCAGTCTCCGGTTTGTGCTTCCTATTATTTTAGTAGGACTTTTTTCATTTTCAGAAAAGATGCAAGTTTGTTTGTGGGAGCCTAAAGAAATTAAATTTTTAAAAATTCAGCCAAGCCAGAAGCAAAGTGAAGGAATCTCTTCAACTGTGTTGTCATCGACTATCAATCCAGAGCCCAGGTCTGATGTTAGATATGCTCTAGCCCTTGTGACCAAGATCATCGGGGGTCTGGGAGAAGAGCAAACACAGGTCAATCATGAACTATGATGTAATGGTGAACTCCTACGTATTATGTGAGAAGAATGAATAAATGCTAAGAGTTCTCATGGGAAGGAGGATGATTCTGGAGAAGAGGTGATGTGTGTTCTTGCCTTCGTGTAGTTTGCTTGCTGTGTAAGAGTGTGGTGAGGACTGGTTTATAGTGGAGGTAGACCAGATGGAAGGTTCTGGGGAAAAAAAAAATCTGTCTTCTAAGACAAAATCCAAACTCCTAACCATGGCCTCTGAAGCCAGCAGGGTTTTTGGCCTTTTTGGCTTCTTTACAGGTTACATTTGCCATCATTCTCTCCCAACCACAGGCCAAGCTTTTATCAACCTCAGGGCTTTTGCAAATTCTTCTCCTGTTACTTATAATACTGGCCAACCACCTTAAACTTTTTTTTTTTATTGTGGTAAAATACACGCGATAAAAAATTGACCATTTTCACCATTGATAAGTATACCATTCAGTGACATTAAGTACATTCACAGTGTTGCCCAACCATCACTATTATCTATCTCCAGAATGTTTTCATCATTCCAAACAGAAACTCTGTATCCATTAAACAATAACTCCTCCCTCCTATGTCTCCCAGCCCCTGGTAACCTCTGTTCTACTTTCTGTCACTGTAAATTTGTGTTCTAGGTACCTCATATATGTAGACTTGTACGATATTTGTCTTTTTATGTCTGGTTTATTTCGCTTCACGTAATGTCTTCAGGGTTCATCCATGTTGTAGCAGTTGTCAGACCTTCATTCTTATTTAAGGCTGAGTAATATTCCATTCTGTGTATACACCACATTTTCCTTATTCACTTGTTTGTTCACGGAGTCTCCCTGTTCTTGGCATAGCAAGGGCCTTCTTGTCTTTCAAATTTCAGCTTTGGTGTCACCTCTGACAGCATTCTCTCTCTTAGTCCCCAGTATGCAAGCACATTATTTATGACCATTTTTGTGGTTTATGTCACTCCTACTGGACTTTGAATCTAAGAGCCCTGTGACCATGGAGTCTTGTTCAGCACGATCTCTCCAGCACCTGGTACAGGGCCCAGCATACCTAAGAGCGTACCTAAGTCCTGTGGAAGCACCCGAATCCTCTTCAAAAGGTGGCACAGACCATGGCGGGCATCGAGTTGGCTCCCAGACTGCTGTCCAGCCTAACCTGGGCTGAGGCTTGCTGAAACCCGGGCCTCCTCTTTGGTTTCAGTTCTCAAGCTTCATGTCTTTTCCTGATGCCACGTCTTCTGACTTTGTCTTCCATATCTTCATGTGTGCTTCTCACTTGGTGTGACCTCTTAGTGCAAGCCAGGCCATGGACTGACTCCTGGTTTTCCCCATAACCACGCAAGTGGCCCTCCAAAGAGAGCGGTCCAGCACCATGGGCTGCTGGCAGAGGCAGAGTTTCTCCTTTGAGTTGGTGAATGAGGATGGGACATGGTTTCTAAAGTCTACGAATAGCAGAGCCTGATTTCTCCAAAGGTGGCCAGCACTTTAAGGTGGACAAGGTTTTCTGTAAACATTGTCTCATCTGATCTCTAGAAATGCCTTCTGAGGTGGTTAATTGGTTATTTCTCATTTCACAGATATTCTATTTACAACGCATAGGGGGTGTTCTTTCCCATTCTCACCAGAGAGAAAGTGACTTACCTTGTGTCACTAGCTTATGTATCAATATGAGAACCCAAAGCACTTTCTTGAAGGCAGAGTCCATGTTAGAAGCAACCCTTGTGAGTGCTGGAGG